TTCTTCTAATTTTTGCATATTTTTCGTTGAACGGGCTTTCACTTTATCATACATGCTAATGTAAGCAGGCTCGTCATCGACAATATCGAAGATCGAATGTTTTTTAGGCTCGTCGCTGTCTGTATCGGTGGCTGATGGATTTCTCGTCACCTGTATTTCGTGAGTAGAGAGAGGACCATCGTCCACATCGCTATGAGAATTTACTGTAGACTGTTGCTGTTGATGATGTTGCGCGTCTCTGTGATTTGTTCCCACAGAAGACTGCTCCGTCGATGGACTCGAGTCGTTTCTTTTGGAAAGTTCCAATCTTGACAAAAATTCTTTATCGGATTCGTGTGAGACTCTTGGGCTACGCTCTCTCGATTCCTTCTCCGATCGATTCTTCTTGCTCCTTTGTTTTTCCTTGTTTCCGCTGTCCCTCGAATTGTTTTCCCGGGTCGATTCGCCATGCGTTCCGTCCCTGCTATCTTGCGTTGTACTTTCCTTACTGTCACGACTCTCCCTGCTCTCTCGACTAGAACGATGCGAATCATTACGATGCTTGCGATCTTCGGATCTCCTGTTTTGCTTAGACCGGTCTTTACTGTCTCGCCGATGATCCGAAATTTTCACACGCTTAGCGTCTTCGTCTGTGGGGCAATCTTGCGACGAACACCTACGCTTGATCGGTACCGGTGCCGGAGCAATCTGATTCTGAGATTGCGGAATAGAGGGATGTAGATGATTCTCAGTCGACTGCCGTCTGTTATCGTCACGTTCTCTCTTGTCTTTGTCCTTTTCTTCGCGGTCTCTTCTCTTTTCGCGCTCGACCTTCTCTTTCTCCCGCCTTTCTTGATCTTCGCGTTCCCGTCGCTTTTCCCTTTCAAGTTTTTCGAGTCTCTCTCGTTCTTCTTTCTCGCGTTTCTCCTTTTCCATTTTTTCTCGTTCTTCCTTCTCTTTTCGACGTTCACGTTCTAGTCTCTCCTTCTCTTCCCTTTCTCGTTTTCTTTCTCGTTCGAGACGTTCCTTCTCTTCTCTCCTTCTTTCTCGTTCTTCTTTTTCTCTTCTTTCTTGTTCTTCTCTTTCCTTTTTAAGACGTTCTTTTTCTTGCTTTTCACGCTCCAAACGAATTTCCCGCTCTTTTCTTTCGCGTTCTTCCCGTTCTCTCCTTTCGCGCTCTTCTCGTTCCTTCCGTTCTTGTCGTTCTTTCTCCTCTCGTTCTCTCCTTTCACGTTCGATACGTTCTTTTTCTCGTCTCTCTTTTTCTTTAAGTTCATTCTCTTCCCTTTCCTTTCTCTCGCGTTCTCTTTCTTCCCGTTCTTTTCTATCTTTTTCCTGCCGTTCCTTGTCTTGTCTTTCTTTTTCTCGCCTCTCTTCGTCCTTTTCCCGTCTTTCACGTTCTTCTTTTTCTTTTTTCTCTTGTCGATCACGCTCTTCCTTATCCCTTCGCTCTTGTCTATCACGATCTTCTTTGTCTCTCCTTTCTTTCTCTTCTCGTTCTTTCCGTTCATACCTTAATTCTTTGTTTTCTTTAATGTCTCTATTATGATTATCCGTGTTGCCGATATCACTTACAACGTTTAAACTTTCATCCTTATCTTTGCGATTTCTTTCAACATCGGCTTCTTCCTTTCGTGATCTTCTTTGACAATCTTTCCCTTTATTATGTTTTGACTCTCTGCCATCCTTTCCGTCGCGAGACTCTCTGCTCTCTCGACTGCTACCACTCGTTTCTTTCTTTAAACGAGAACGAGTCAAATCTGTGGAAGATGTGGATAATGACGATGAAGAGGAAGAATTGGATGAGGATGTTATGGAAGACGGTGGAGCTATCGAACTGGTAGTAGTCATGGAAGATACTGTGCCTGTTACGGACATCGTTGTTGTTGCTGCTACCGTTGACGAGGTTGTCGCAACAGGTACCGCTGGTGTTATTGCAGTTGAGAAGGCATCTGTTGACGCTGCGGTCACCGTGGGCGATACGGTGGTCGCAGAGATGCTCAATCCCCGATGTGTCGAGGCTCCAAGAGTGTGAATGCTACCTATGCTACCATTGTTGCTTAGAAGACTACTGGCTGACGCTAAACCACTACCGCTACCACTACTGGCTGCTGTTCCACTAATGAGACCGATTGGTAGAGAAACCGGTGGTAATTCAGGACTAACTGTCTTGATAGAAGTACCAGGTGTAATCGGCGTCGCCGGCGTTGGATGTATGCAGTTATGTTGCACTATCCGCGGATCGGTCTTTAACATCGACGGGGCCATCGAAGTCGTCGTCGCGGTCAAACTTGCGGACAATGACGTATTAATGCCGACTTGACTAACCGAAATACCGCTGGTCGGCTGTACCGGCGGATGACTAGGAAACGGATACTGCAGACAAACTTTGCTAGTACAGCCGCTAGTGGTAAGACCAGCGGTGCTCCCGATCATAGAACTAACACCAATAACACCAGTGAATTCCCGCGGTTCGTACTTTTCACTGAAGTTCTCCAATCGTTTAGAGTCTTCATCGAACACGCTTCTTTTCGCGAGAACTGACTTCACAATATCGGAAGGTTGCACTTCATGGAGATCCATATCGAGCAGTTTATGTCGAAATCGGAATCTTTCTGAAGCGCTCGCATCAAGTTTTGCCAATGCATCACCGCCAGCAGCACTCAATGCTCTCGAACCAGACCACTTTTCGTACTTTTCATCCAGAGAGCGTATCCTCTCCTCCAGACTAGGGGACTGTGGCGCTGTCTCGCTATCGGAACTGGTTGGACTCGAGCTGGTATGTCTGGGAGGCGGTGAAGCCGGCGGTTGTGGAGCCGCACGAGGACTGGGCGCAGTAGATAAGCTGGCACATGGCGGACTAGCAACTTTGGCGAGGCTGGCACTGCTCGATCGAGTGCTGCTGCCATTGTTGTTATTACTACTGCTTGTATTGTTGTTATTATTCAACATTTGAGCCGCAAACCTTGGTAAAGGCAGCGACAATGGACCTTCGTGACTCCTTTCTCTAAATCGTCTTGGTTCGCTAGGTACTAAATTCTCCGGTCGCTCATCAACGAGAGGAGTACCTGGTCGAGATCCATCGTGATGTTCATGATGCCTGTAAAAAAAATACGGTTATTTTAGTTTTGATAATTTTTAAATGCTTTTTTCTATTATATTTAAATATTAACACAGCTCACCTGCTAGTGGTATCCCGACGACGTTTACAAGGTCCAGGACCCCTGCCCTCGCAACTACCTCTCCTTGTGCTATGATGCACCACTACTTTGCTATCACTAACGCGCCTAAAGTCCATGCTTTTTCTACTAGAGTGCGAAGTAACGAGTATCGACGCGATTTCCGGCTCGTCATCTTCACAAAGTACTGTCGTCGACGAGCTGTCAAGTTTAGCACGTTTCTTCGGCACGAAACCAATCTCGTCGCCGCTACTGTGACATTCTTCGAGTTGTTCCAATAAATGGACGCGCTCCTTTTGGAGATGTCGAATGTCTGGTGGAGGTAATAACGGTGGCGGTGGCGCAGGTGGGTCGACACTCGTAACGACGCTTTGCACTGTGTGACGCCGTGATGGTGGCGGGCAATCATCGTCGTTGAGTTTGCTGTCACTGAGTACGCTGCTCTGATAATCGTCGTGACTTGCACCGCTGCCTTGACTAAACTCGTCGTAGCTACGAAACCGTCGCGACGTCGGTTCAGCGTAATCACCATCGTAGTAGGAATCCTGATAGGATCGTCTACTACTTCGTGACATCGCTGTTGGATGGGCTGGACTCGCACCAGGTGTACTGCCTCCAGAAGTTCGCGAGTAATTTGCCGTTCTTGATCGCGGGGGCGTATCATAGCGTGTAAATCTGTTGCTCGAACTCGACACCGTCACTGCCGAGTCGAAACTACTACGCTCCCGCCTAGAAGGAATCCTTCGAATCACGAATGCAATCGTTTTATAAGTTCTTGATTGTAACTCGTGAACTTATACATAAGCATGCGTCTATTTCATTAATAAACTATCAGTATAATCTAATAGAATATCAAATAATTTAGACTAATTAGAAATTGTTTCAAATAAAGATTGTTAAATATCAAATATGCACATTAAAAAAAAATTTCTTGCTTTATCAATATTAAATATTTCATATTTTATCGAGGTACTTTTTAGCTATAATAAAATTGATTTATAAAAAAAGTATACATACGTCACGTCAAATGAAGATGCTGGCGAAGGCCTCGAATCCCAAGGCTTTTCACTAGTATTTCCTTGACGCTCGAGATGTTCGTAAAATGTTTCCTGGCATTCCCTTGAGGCAAAATCGACCTGCAAACGGCGGCCACGAAGTGCAGCTCCCCGCATTTCTTTCACGGCAGCTTGAGCGCAACTTATTTGATCGAAAAAGACCAGAGCATGACCACGCTCACGATCTACCACTACCTGAGTTATCGGTCCAAATTGATGAAATTGCATATTTAAGTATTTCTCGGACATGCAATCTAAAAAAAGAAAAGAATATTTAATATATTTAATGCCGTGTTTTGACATTGTTGGTATTGTACCAAATCTTTCTTTTTTAATATCTTATTTTTACAAATTTTAATGCTACTGTCTGATGTAACTTTTAATAAAATAAAACTACTTGCACATCGTTCTATTGCATTTTGATAAATAACTGTGCTTTTAATATTTCTTACTAGTACATAATTGAATAATAAATATAATAAAAAATGTAGTAAATATAATAAAATACCTCCGATACCATCAACCCAAACGCAGGATGTCGGCATCGACTTCCCGAATCCAAGTTTAATTCGATTCGCACCTAAATGTTCACCATCCATTGATCTCATCGCTTTAACAACACTACCGATATCCGAATATTGACAAAAAGCGTAACTTGACACGGCGCCCTGTTTTTTAATATCAATTTCCTGCAAACAAATATAACGGGATGTTCGTCTTAATGTTTATCAGGCTTAGATTATTATTTTTATTTGGCTTTCTCATTTTGTTCAGATGATTTTGCTTTTTATTCAATTTCTATACTGACATAAACGAATGTTCCAATTTCAAAATAATTTGAACTCACTATTATTTCGCCGAACGGTTCAAAATGCTTCCTGAGCTCGGACGCGGTAACGTCTTTCTCGAGGTTACCGATGAACAATGTTCTTGTTGCTTTCGGATGGTACTCATCGAGTTCTGCCTCGTACGGCCTAAACTCGTTGTCCTCTACATCGTATCCTTGATAAGGGGCTACTTCAATTTTGCATCCAAAAAATAGCTTATCTTGCGAAACTTCGAGAGCTTTCTCCACGTCCTCAGGTTTCTTAAAACAGACTAGGGCATATCTGTCGCCGGCTGCACCGACGACCTTCACCCACGTCACCTTTCCGTGCTTCTTGTACTCGTGGAAAAGGCCATCTTTGAGGGAAGTATCGCTGCTACGTGCCGGCAGATTTCTAACGCAGATGGCCAACGGCCTGCGATCCTCCGTGACGGCTACGTTGCTGGTGCGATGCGGAGAGCTACCGGGCGACGTGCTACCCCCGGAAGAGCTGCCGCCCGAGCTACCGCTTCGACTGCTGCTGCTACTTCCGGAACGACTGCTACCGCTTGGCGAGCTGCTCCCACTTCGTGATTTTCTTCGCTGTTTCTTGTGCTGTCGCAAAGCACCACTGCTACCGCTACCACCGCCTCCACCAGTTCCTACAAAAGAAGAATGATTAAAATTAAATACGTGATAAATATGAGAAAGAAATGTGTATTTGTTATTTTTCTTCATGCAAATCAAAGTTCATCGTTGAATATTTACAGTTTGTAGCAACTAAATTTCCATATTCTTTACACATTGACATCGAGCGGTTTTTATCTTTGACATTCTCATTTTAATGGTTCAACACACAAACAAGTGACAAATATATAGAAACTACACGCGTGTCTTTCTTATGATGATGAAAAACTCTTCTACTGGATCAGAATGAGATTACCTTGTTCGTCTTGGTAAGCGTCATTGGTGGCAGGCGAAGGTGGCGGCGGTGCACCGCCGTACCTCGAACTCGTCGGCTCGTATGCCGACCAGGATGACGGCGGCAGACTTCCACGATGTC